ACAGTTCACCTCTGCAGAGTACATCAGTGTCAGACAGGCTCTGCTAAGTTTTATAGTTTTAGAATATTTTAAATCCTAATGTTAATATGTCCTTTGTCACAGTCATGATATGTCAACACCATCTTCCAATTTCTGAGGAAATTATTTGAAATATGTAGATAATTTTATTTTCCTGAAGCAGGTTCCATTAGCATCTAGCATCAACAGCAAAAAATGAAATGGCTACTACATGAACTCCATTGGTTTTGTGAAAGAAATGCCAAATTTGTCAACACCGTCAGATGTCACCACCATAAGATCTTGTGTTCCAAGGATATATCAAAATATTTCAATGTGACTCTTGAATAAAAGCTTTATAAACAATAGCATACTCACTCTTTGTTGCGTTTAATACAGTAATTGACTGATTCAATGTATTTGATAGTTAAAATGACTACAAATTCAGGTTTTCGTCACCACCGTCAGATGTGTCAACTCCGTCAGTTGAATATTTTGATGATATTTCATTATGATATTTTATATTTGTTGTGGAATTATTGGTCACATGTGAAAGTGTAATCTGTCTGCTGACACGAGAATGTGTTTTGAAATGTTAAAAACATCTTGAATGCTGTTAAAGATAAAGCTGAAATTATATTACACAGTCCAAGCTAAAAAAAGCACATTTTGTTAAAAAAGAGAAAAGTTGGGAGGTTGTATCAAAGCATATCTCAGTAGCTTAGTACATATAAGATACATAAATGTAGTTTCATTTGTCGGAGTACAAGAAGTTTTGTCCCACTTCTCAAGAATGACTGATTAGTGCACCATCTTTGCATATCTAAAGGCTTTGGAATAAAATATATTTAACATAATACTATTCGTTTATTTTTATATAGGCTATATAAGATAACAACACACGTGCTTGCAAGCACTGGTTTTTCCATCTGGAAATGCACATCTAGTTTATCTTTTTCAAATTGGTTTGTACATTATAGTGAAGTTACTGCACACAAACACAAACACTAACAATGGTCAGCGTAGCGCCGCATTGCAGGCGTGGTCTCATAGCTGTGGTTTGAGCGAGCATCCACAATTCATCCCCTCCACACCAAAACCATGCTCTTCTTTCGCTGCGTTCATGTTTCATTGGCTCGTGGCTTGGCCTAACAGTCTGTTTGTTTTGCTCTGTGGTAAGCATACATGCACCTCGCTGTCACGCTCTTGAGCCCAGATTTCCAGCTCATAAAAAGACAGAGCAGATAAAAGAAAGGGATGAACAGGATGTGGTTAGCCTACATGAAAACTCACACACTTTGTTAACTTGGAGAAAGGTTCTGAAGAGAGAAAAAAGAAACCACAGTGAGCGTGGGGTTAGATGTACAAGATGCAAGATGCGCAAAACTAGAAGATCTGTGTGTACCCTGATGCTACTCTTGAGATTTTGATGTGCATTCAGTGGAAGCTAAATTATTAAAAAAGTTAATCTACACTTACAAAATGTATTAATTCTGCATTAAATATAGCAGGGTTATTATAGATAACTAAAATTAAAAGCATGAATAAATAATGTTGGTACTTGGTACTAAAATAAACATTAGCTGAAATATATATATATATA